TTGGGACTTGTTTTTTACCATTTGGTTTTGTTTGGGTTTTTTAAGTGCCATATCTATGTCCCCCCAAAATCAGTGTAATAACATCGGTATGAGGTTCAAGGTCTGGATGAAAGTTCTGTCTGCATGTGTTGTTCCTTCGGCTCTAATGCAAGTTACCTTCAGGACTGCTCCAGTGACAGTATTTTCCCTGGCCATTTCTGCTGGTGTTTCTGGGTTTAGTAGGAATAAATTACTAGAGCTGTAAGCAGAGTTAACAATTCTGTACTACAATATTTCAGTAAAATTGCGGGTTATTAAATAAAGCAAGGCAATTTCTGATCTTTCTTAATGTACATTTCCAGTAATTCAGGATCTGATGTCAACCAAAAAAATGTTGTAGATAATGCAAAGAAGTGATGTAATCAGATTACCTTTCAGGAAATGCATAGTGTTTATTTCAAAGTACTTTAGTGTACATAGCTAGTAGAAGGATTCACAGTTTACAGGGTGGTAGTTTGAGTCAGATGGACACAATGTCTTTTTCTAGTACAGTCTTTATTTCTTGGCTGTGATGGACTGGAGGAATTTCTCCCTTCTCACTGTCTGTGCAATTCTCCTTCAGTTCTCTGCCCTATCTCCTTCTCCTTGAGAGATGTAGCCCACCTTCTCTGAACTCACCATTTTTCAGTTCATCTGAGTCCTTCTGGGCTTGGATTTGTTATAGATGTGATCTCTCAGTAAGAACACACAGGACAAGCAAGCTGGTGGATTACTATGTTACTATGAGGAAACCCAAGGGTTGGTTTTGTTGTGTTCTGGAGATGAGTCTTGTGGTTTTCTTTGCATTAGCTTTTTACACTGTTAGTTTGCCAGATCACATCTATTTCACCACTGCCAAAGGTCTGTCGTTGTTTTTTGGGGCATTTCCAGTTGTGTGGGTCACATTCTAGACCTCAGCTGAACTGATTCTTATGTGCTGGAGCCTCATATTATCGGTTAGACTGTTAGTTGTTAGTGACTGCCATACTGAAGCTGCGTTAGACCAAGGAGATAAGGAAAGGATGCAGGATTCACACAGCTCATGCATACTTACTCTGGTATCTTAAATGTGGGTAATCCACATTATGAATCTAATTACAAGCAATGTGGACAATAGAAACATCTGTGCATTATTTATGCATATCTCTAGAGCTTTAAAGGGTGAGTCCTTAAACAAAGATGGAAATCTTAGGCTATGAATATGCCTTTTGTCTTGAACTGTGAACTCATTCATTGCAAGTGGTCCTATTTTCCTGATAGAGATGCATGTAAAAGAGAGTATGTTTGTAGCAACAGCAATATGTATGAGTTGACTTTCCCCTTTTTGGGTCTCTTTGAGAATTCTGACATTAATGCTGCTGCTGTCCCTGAATTGCTCATGTTTATGCAAACTCCATGCAGTGCTGTGGGTTTATAATACCACTTAGAGGCATTTAATGGAGGCTTCTGGTTTGCAGGAGAAAAAAAAAAAATAGCATTTGCCAAAAATAACCCCAACCAACACAGAGGGGAAGGAATTTTGTGTTCCTTAGCCTGGATGATAACACAAACCTCTAGAGACATTCTGATAGCTCTAACCAGGGGTTGAATGGAAAGCAGTCAAGAGCAATGAAAAGGAAACCTCTTGCTTTTTGCTGCTGTGGATGAGTTTCTGACCAGACACAGCAATGCACACAGAGAATCACTGAACAGACTTCTGGAGGCCATGAGCTGACCCATTAAATTAAATTGCCCCTGCATTGCACCTAGATGGTCTCAACAAAGCTGCGTCAGGTGTCAATGTGCATTTGCAGTGGGTACCCATGCGTTTTCACATGGTGAACAATGATTTGTGAATAAAGGGAAAGCTACAGGCAGGTAAGATGCAGCAGTGTTCCTGTATTGTCCAAATGAATTGATGTGGATTGATATAAGCTATACCAGCCTTGACTTCAAAATAATGGTTTATTGTATATGTCCTCAGGTTCTTCCTGAGGACACCGGTCCAGCTGAGTCTGCTTGTAAGATCAGAACCTCACCGTCATTTTGCACAGGCCGTTGCATGGTGAAAGTTTATACTTCCAGAGTAGTTTAGAATTCTATGAGTCACAATCACAACATTACCTTTAAGATGGTCACTAAACCAAAAAGTACAAACTCACTGAAAAAGGTTTTTCCTTAATGTTTGTCCTCTAAATACTACTGGCTGTTAGTGAAAACCATGAATTTTCTCAATTCTTTCTTCTAAACATTTATTTGTTTGAGTGTTTTATTTCTTCTGAGAAGGGAAATTTCCTGGGTTTACCAAAAAGTGGACCTTGCTCAGTTCTCTTCTCAAGCCACACCTTTTACAGCACTATACCGCAGGATGCTTTGCCAGCCCCTTGCACAAAATTTGTTGTTTGTCCTAAACGAAGATAGGACAAATGTATTTGGAGAACTAGATCTCCCCTCTTCCCCTCCACATCCTATTATCTTTCTACGATAGCATTTGGGTGTATTTTTCTCCTTCAAAGTGTTGTCCTTGGGTTCAGCACGAATTGGTTTACTGAATTCACTGATAGGAGAATGTCTGGGATACCGAGGTGTGCCAGTATAATCGAAGTGAAAGGAGTATCAGCGTGATTCTCCTGACGTTTCAGTCCAAAGGAGCACAGTCAATCACTACTGGACTTACAAAGACTGTAGAATCAGTGACTGTGTTGGAAGGGACCTTAAAGCTTACCCCGTTGGTACTGGCAGGGAGAAGATGCCCCCATGGTGGCTTAATGAGATCCTCCCTGGCACGTCTCCCAAGGAACAAGGGGCAGGGCAAGAGGAAACGGCCTCAAGCTGTGCCATGGGAGGTTTAGACTGGATACTGTGCGCAGTTCCTTCCCCAGGCTGCCCAGGGCAGTGGTGCACTCACTGTCCCGGAGCAGTGTGCTGCCGCGCTTCCCGCAGCACGAGAGGAACCTAACCGCCGCCACGCAGGGCCCGGGCCTCGCCCAGCGCCGTGACGCGACCTGACGTGCGCGGTGACCGACAGGCGGCGCTGCCGGGCCCGCCCGGGCACGCGGGTGGGGAGAGCGGGAGCAGCGCGGGGAGAGCTCAGACTGTGGTGATAGAGGCAATGGCAGCTCTCGGAGCAGAGCGGGGAGAACAGGGGCCGCGCTGATGGACAGAACCGACCTGGCGGCACAGACAGGGCCGTCAATGCCATGTATCCGTCCAGCCGTATGCAGTGAGTGCCAGAGCCTAAGACGTCAGTAGGCAGGTGATTTGCTCTGCACGGTGGCCGAGCTGTGGGGAGAGGTGCGGCGGCGAAGGAGCATAAGGGAATCTGAGGAGGAGATTGAGTGGTGGAGCCACCCTTTACCATCCCTGAGAGAAGCAACCCAGGCACTCAAAACAAATGAAATTCCGGATCCCCTGTCTTCTTGCCACCAGGCAGATGGAGGGGCCTAGACATGGCGAGGTTGGAAACTCCTCAGAGCATGCAACATATTACCCCCCAGCTTATGTCATCTTCACAAGTAGCCCTCTACAACAGCTTTGAGGCCCTGATACTTGAGGATCAGGAAACCGAGGAAGATGATGAAGTAGATAAGGGATCATCCAGGTTAGAAGAGCCGTCATGGAAGAGCCAGAGAATGCCTCATGTCATGACCAACTCTACTGGGAACAAAAGAGAGCGGTTGTGATTGATGGCTGCGCCCTGAGAAGAACAGAGGGCACCATGTGTCAAACCAGCTCGGCTCACAGGGTGCCTCCCTGGCAGCAGGGTAAGGGACATCACCAGAAAACTCACTCATCTGGTACAGCCCAGTGATTGCTATCCTTTGTTAGTCTTCCAGATGGGCAGTGGAGTGGTTTCATCAACAAGAAGCCTGAAAGGACTCAGGAAGGACTTCAGGTCTTGGGGTGACTGGTTCAGTGTTTGGAGCCCGAGCAGTGTTCTCATCCCTCCTGTCAGTCACAAAGACAATGGAAGTATCAGAAAAATCTTGCAAATTATAATTTCTGGCCCCAGGACTGGTGTCAGTGCCAGAATCTTGGGGTTTTGGCTGTGGCTGGGTTTGCATGGTAAAAGGCCTGCGCGCAGCAGATGGGGTATGCGTGTCCCAAAGAGGGAAAAGGATCCTAGCCCAGAAGCTAGCAGGGCTCGTAAAGAGGGCTTTAAAATAGGTTCAGAGAGAGAAAGGGTTAAAACCAGACTCTAGTAGGGAAGACCAGTTTTCTCTTTTGATCTGCTTATATCTACACCACTTCAAAACAGGAAGCTGTAAACAACTGTGATCACTTTGTGACAAATGAGTACCAAAGTAATGAGGGCAGTTACATACAACCCTCAAAAGCATGGCTCACAAAAAAAAAGCTCTGTATCTCTGGGATTTGCAGCCTTGTGGATGGATTGACATTAAATACAGTGTGGTGTATTCCAGAAAAGACTGGCAGAAACTCTGCTGTCAACAGTGAGAGAAGATTGCTGGTAAGAGGTCATTGCCCTGTGAGAACAGCTGCTGTTCCTCAGATAAAGCAAGGGGTGATTGAAGAGAATTCCTGTACCTGGACGCTGGCTAGTAAGTTCAGAATGCAGATAACGCATGATGAGGAGCTGGTGGATTTTACTGCAATCTCATGATGTTTAGTTTTTGTCTTAAATTCTCTGGGTTTCTGTAGTGATAAAAGAATGGGTTTTTTGGAAGCTATTAGCTTTGACTACTGCATGGGAGAACTTCAGAATGTCAGTTATAAAGGTTCCGTTATTAAAATGTGACTGAAAAGAATCTATGTGGTTTATGAGGTTGTTGGTACACAACTTGAATAGTTTGAAGTGATGAATAATGCTGCAAGAAAGTGATTTGGCTTTATCCAGGTTTGGCATATTTAAAAATAGAATTATTTGTTATAAATTTCTATTCCTGTTTAAGAATATTTCTTTTAAGTGCCCTTTAATATGATTTTGATTCTGATGGGTACAGTTCCGGTCACTGATGTTTTGGGTTTTTTCTCCTTTTCAGTTACACCAGCAGAGTTGTTTCCAATGGACTGAAGGCACAAATTAATAATCCAGAACTAAAAGTCAGAGGACTGGACCCACTCATCAGTAATTTGATTGACAAACTTCAGCACTTCAATCAAGTAAGTAATTTTTAGAGAGAAAAGCATTTTATCACTGGGTTTGATAGCAGAGCTGAAGCTAAACTTGCTAGGGGATACTGCTGCTCATGTTATATATCCCAAGGTCACAGGCCTGGTACTAAAGGCAACTGAAGATTGTTGTGCCAACTGGTTTATGAACTCAAATGAGACAAAATTATTTCTCTGGAAATTACTCTAGTTCCTGGTTGTTGTTCCATAGCTGTTGATCCATAGGTGTTGATTAACTGTCCTACAGGCCAGGGTCCCAGTAACATGGAGGAACTCTCAAGGCCTACAGTTCACATAAAGCTTGTGACTGGAGGCTTCTTGTGTGAGAGCCTTGAGGATTTCTGTGATATTCTTGTGTTGGAGGAGTATCTCCTTGTTTGTGCAGCTTCCTGTTTTGAAGTGGTGTAGATATAAGCAGATGAAAAGAGAAAATGGGTCTATAAAGGTATGATAACTGAACTGTAGGGAATGCTGAAGTCAGGACAGAAGGTGCTCCAGGATGAAATAAATCTGAGCCTTTGAAAACATTTACTTGACAGGCCTTCTTCTCAAGCCCATCAGCCCCAAAGGTGATAGAACCTACCAAAGAGTTTGTCAGCAGCATGATTAACCTGTGTCTGCCTCTGTCATCTATTTGGATTCCCTCAGATGCACTTCCAGTCCTGGTGCATCTATTTTTTTCAAAGCTGAATGCATGATTCTCTGATATGACTGCTTCAGCACACCTCTTTGTGAGCTCTAAGTAGTGCCTGTCCAAGTGAGCTGGAGCAAACAGAATCAACAGGGATTGATTCTCATTTAAGGTAGGCATGTTTGCTTGTCAGCTTGGAAGAATGCCTACAACGCTGTTTGGAATCGCATGTGTTTGCACATTAGTCTGCTCACAATCTTTCACCGTTAAAGAGTGGTGGAGCATAGGGATGGAAATAGTAGAAAACTACTGTAAGATTCAAGTCCACCTTTGTGTGCAGGAAGAAAAATCATCTACACAGGTAAAACAGGAGGAGGACTTGCTTAGTCAGGATGTGGGAGGTTACTAACGCTGTGGCTGTGGCTGGAATTGATGGTTTCATCTCTTTCCCCCTGCAGAAGTACAACCCTCATCTACCTCCCATCAACCACCAGTAGTAAATCCATAAGCTAACCAGTAATTAGAGTTTTGATTAAATCTTTCTTAGCTTGAAAGTGCTTCTACTGTTGTGTAGGCTGCAGCTTAGGATTCTTTGTATCACACTGTTTGATTTAACTTGCCATAGGGAATTATAACAACTAGTCTGATACGGTACTTAATATTACAGTGAAATAGACATTATGTGGTCAGATTGATAAAAAGGATAATTCATTATTTATCTGCCTTTGCATGTTATAAAGTAGAGTGTTAATTTATAAATATTAGATACATCCATCTGTGTAATAGTCTTCTGTAAACACTGACGATAGGAAATAGAAATGGATTAAATTAAAAGTAGCTGTGTATTGGAAATTCTGTTTCTTTGTCTGCTGTAGAAAAACTAAAGTCTGAAGTCTCAGAGTGAGCTGCATACCAATTTTCTTCAGTTATATACATTTAAAAAACAGCTTTAAACGCCACTTTTTAGCCAGAAGAATGAAATCCAATTCCTAGCTCTTTCTGTAAGTTGGAACTGTTGCTTTCTGTTACTTCTAATTATGTTTTAGGTAAACGTAACTCCCATCAGATTGAGGTGCTTAGCAATAATGGATTCCAAGGGTGAAGGATTAAACAGAATACTGATTATTGCCCTAAGATGGTTTGTTCTTAAGTACTTGGGATAATACAGATTCCTTTGATCATAATTTTAGTAAGATTTCTTGAGAGATCAAAGCATCAAAGAAGTTTCTAAATATCTAAGGCTTTCATATACAGCATCAAACGTGTAGCTGCTTCCTGCTTCTTGAGTTTTCATTTTACTTGTGATACTAATATACAAATAAAAAATGACACTGAAAAGCTGATTAAACCAGGAGTTTAAACTGTCATCAATAGCATGTGTAGACTGTTTAGAGGAAGAGTTATACAGAATCCCATTACTCATTTTATGGGCAAATCAATTTTTTTTCATTAAATTCCTCTTTTTTTTTTTTTTCCTCCCTTGGAGGCAATACATAAAGTGGAATTTAAGCAGTGATAAAATAAGGTGTTATCTTTCTATCTTGCAGTGTTTGACATTTGCAGTGCCATTGTAAGCAGTAGTTGCATACTGCATATACAGAAGCAATCCTAGAGAGGTAGGAAGACTGGAGAGCAGAGAACAAAGCAATGCACAGAATGTGAATCATAGGTGATTTGATGTGTCTAGGCCCCAGTAATCTGCCACTTGAAGAATATTGCTAAACTACCCAGAAGAAAGCATATTCTTGCATAAAAGGAAGATGTGTGACTGGGGTAGCAATGCAGCACTTGGCTGTGAGCAAGAGTGGCTTGTCAGTGGCCATGCAGGAGTAGGAAACCATTCATTTAAATCAAAACTGACAATCTTTGGTGTACAGCAGCCATGTCTTTGTTAGCTCCTCGTTATAACTTGTCCACAAATGTAAAGAGATTAGACACTAAATTGTTTCTAAACCCCATGAACAGAACTCATGTCAATGGATTATTGTTCTAGTTGGTGCATCTCAACTCCAGCATGTTGCAAGTAATCTTCATGCAAGGCATCTTGCATTTCTGCCTGTCCCTTAGGCTGAGATGCCATCTTGTTGGAGGTTATAACAGTTCCTCATTTTTTTTCATCTGGGACTTAAATCCTTACCATATAGTTGTTGGGTTCTTTTAAAAGATTATTCAAACAGCAGGTTATTTCATAACCACTTCACAAAGCCAAAAGTAAAGTGAAATTTAGAGAATATTACTCAACAATTACTGTTATTTGCATTCCTGGCAGATAAGGAGTTTGAAGGGTTTATTGAAGCTGCTGATTCACATATAAATAGAATTACTGAGTTACAGTTTACTTTTAGGAATGCAAAACCAGCTCAAGCAAAGTCCGAGGTTGATTTTGAAAAACTATCAGTTAGGAATAGCATGATTTCCTCCCTGTTTTTTGTCAATAGAGCAGATGTGATCTGCAGCTGATAAACATAAAGCCCTCCATTGCACCTTTTTTGAGTACTACTTCTTGCCACATAATGACTCTTAAATATGTTGTAATGTTTTTCTTCAGCATGATGTTTTCACAGTTCAAACACAAGCAATTCTGAGGCCAAAGTTAAAAATCCTGAAGGATCAATTTCATTGAAAAGCAAAGAAAATGTCAGGGAAGAGTGAAAAAGCTTTGGCTCTAGCTTTACTAGCAGGGTCGCATGAGCAATCTCAAAGGATTATAGTATAGGAAGTATTATACAGGCTTAACGTATTTGTCTTTTGTCAGCCTAACTCTAATCTTGGCATATACTGAGAATCAGTGTGTTTTGCTGTTGTCAGTCAGAGATGAATGCTTAGGGCATGACTGTGCTTCAAGATATAGTGCAGTATCCCAGCACTTAAAATGAGAGTAATGTCAAAACAAATCTTGCTTAATCTGGACCCACATATTTTTTTTATTCCTCCCCCCACTCCCCCAAAGTCTCATGGAAGAGCCAGCTGAACTAAGAAATAACTTTAATTCCTTTTAGATCTGTGTACAAAGGATGCCCTCATAGCAGAGTTCAAGGCAGGACACTGAGATGTTTCTTATCAATAAAATGAGCTAGCCATAATATAATCTCAAATGTGAATTTAATTGGGTTAGACAATAGAAACTAATACATTGAATAATTTAGCTACTGCTTAGTTTAAAAGTGTATATATATTTTTAGGCTTCTATACAATTATAGGGGTTTTATATGAGGTTTAAGTGGAGACAAGGTTTGATTTTCATCCAAAGTTGTAGATTAGTCAGACTGAGTCTCAAAATACTCAGTTCTTATTTTATCCAGTGAAAACATGGAAAGGTTGAAAGTCATCTTAGAAAGACTGTTGCTGTATTACTTCTAGTACTTGGGATTTAAACAGCCCCAGCAGGTCTAGAAGTATTATTGCTTGCCCCCGCCATACCTCCCAGAACCTGCAGACTTGTGTCTCCTACTGAACAGAGCTTTCCCAGAACTGCCATATGTCTGGATTTCCAAAGCAGGTCCTCTTTTATTCCATCCAAAGTGCTTGGAAACCTTGGACATTTCTTCAGGGTTTCAGGTGCTCCATATCCTTTAGAAGTGGCCAGGTTGGATAGTGTTTGGAGCAACCTGCTCTGGTGGAAGGTGTCCCTGCCTATGGCAGGGGGTTTGAAACTAGATGAGCTTTAAGGTCCCTTCCAACCCAAACCAGTCTGTTAACTGTTCTGTTTGTGGTATAACACTTATTACTTGTTCTTGACCAGAAATGCCCCTCTGTGAGTACTGGCAGAGGGTAGCAGTCTGGCTGCTATGGTAGCCTATTGGTTTTGATGTTAATGAATTTTTTTTTAAAGATAGAAAGTCAGCAGTTATCATTGAATTAATTAAGGTTGTCACACTGAAATTATAAGTGAAATACTTACTTTATTCTATTAGCCCATCATCTTTTTCTAATCTTTCTAATAATTGTAAGTCATATACATTGTTTTAGGTTATTATTATGAGACGTGTGATTATGGTATTTACTTTTAATGTCGTTCCTGAGGTACAATAACTTGCTTATTTCTGGAGATGGTAATTTTAGCGTACTAGGAAAGAGAAGCAGAGATTTATGGACTGATCGTTTTCTTCAGGGTAAGGGAAAGGTCTTCAAACAATTCATTGATCATTGGCCAAAAGCAAGAAAACAGGGTCATTTTCCTCTCTTCCTGTTGCACTACTAAAGGGAGGAGACAGGTAGAAAAAGCAGCGTGAAACAATAAAACTAAAGATGACCTAAAGCCCACATGTATTCTCTAAAGCTCAAGCGGATCCGTACTGCTGGTGACAAGTGGATTAATGCTACTGCAGTATACTGGCACTTCCCCCTTAAAGCAAACAGG